CATCACCCCCCAGTATTTTAGAATCCAACACTGGACACAAGTGATAGCAGTAGCTACAAACGCTCTGGGTGGATACAGACCCACAATTCCTTTTATTAACAGTATGGCATAGTAGCAAATGACAGGATTACTGGCAAGAAACCTGACAGGGCTTGCAACATGAAGATGACTTATCTCTAACTTTCACTATTCTTGTGAATAGTGTCATTGCTCCACTGGCAATGGCACAACACTAAATACACGATAGTAGCAAGGAAAGTGGAGATGAGTTACAGCTTCTTTACTAAAAATATCCTTCTATCTTTACTTATCATAGCTTATTATTACATTAAGATATCACCCTTAAGAGTAACTGCATGTTGTCTGAAGAAACTTGTTTTCAAGTTACACCCAAGTTTTTCTGTGTAGAGAGAGATAACTACTCCATCATCCAGGCTCCTTTCTCTCCCTCAGGAAATAAAAAGTCCTGAAACATATTTCTGTTCCCAGGAGATGGAGAATATCCTGCAACATCCTTTCTGTTTAAAGTGCCTCCCAGACAGCTTCCAAGTACAATCTCTTTTCTGCACCGGCAGCAATTGGTCTTCCCACGTTAGACAGTTTTGGGAATAAAATTGTCCCATTAAAAAAAAAATAAAAATATCAGCAGAGGTGCCATCCACCATTTTGCTAACAATAGCATCTGTTTTCTTTTTCACTGCAAACTGCTTCACTTAGAAACGTAAAGCAGAGGATACAGAGCCCTGACAAATCAAATGTTTCAAATATTCTTCTTCCTAAGAATTAATAAGACTGAATTTATAACACCATTTTACAAAGTGCAATTCATTTCTTAATGAGGCAGACTGAGCACCCCTAGTTTGGAAGTACCCATGAGTGTACACAGTTAATCTCAGCCCTATTTGCCTTTAGTCAGTGTCTGTTCTGTTGCTTTGGCTAGGTAAACTCCAAAGGTTTTATGCTGGGGTTTTTTCCTCAATTTTTTTTCACTTCAACTAAACTGAAAGATGACAGGTAATAATATAATGTGTGGTAGAAGGAGAAATGCTGACAGACATTGTGTTACTTTGCTTCAATTAGGCTCTAATTACTTCTTCTCTTCAATTAGAAAAATCACATGAACCAATTATGCCAGATAATGTGTGCTTATCCTATTCAAACTGCACAATGGGTAAGGTCTATTCACATTGATTATCTTCAATTTATGCTTTTAGCCTTTTTTTCCCCTTCTGTCTGCCTGGCCCATTACAGTTTTAAAGTGGAAGCTCTTAAGCAGTTCACAGTATTATGATATCATTCATAACAATTGTTATGTTTTGATGGAAGAAAAATGTTGATGCCTTGAATGCAGAGGGGAAGAAATCTCTTTGGATTGAATGTATTCCAATTTTGTTATTTTGGTTAACAATATTCCCATGGTTTTTAAATAAATATGATACCATGTGGTCTACTGTTAATGGACAGAGCTGAGTGAAACAGTTGGTTCTATGGGAACAGAGATTTCAAAACCAAATGCAGAATGGAACACAAGAACTGCTCACTGTCAAAGCAGAGTATCAGTCCTACAAGCCCTATCAGGCCTTATTCATGAATGCTCTGCAGATTGGAAGCAGTCAACAAAAGCAGAGTGACAAGCATAAAACCTAGAAATGGAAAAACCCTAAGAATGTTTTCCTGGAAAATAAATTGGGGGGGTGGGGGGGTGGTTAACTGTGATGTAAATTCTCAACAGTCACAGAACACTTCCATAGATCTGGATGATCTGGATGAGCAGAAAATGCTGAGAAACAACACTGAATACTATAGGCAAAGAATTTCAATCCCTCTTAAGGATTTAAGGGAGTCTGCTGATGCATGGTTTTATCTAGCCTTGTGTTCAACTGAGGAAAGAAATCCTTTTAATACTCCAAGATTAAATACAGAACACACCCTTTGCTGTCCAGCAACCTCCAGAGATGGCCAAGCATGAGGTAAGGTGTCACTTGGATCAGCTGAAGCTATCTCAGTCAACATCAATCTCTCTTGCTTAAAACACATAAGTTCTACTCAGACTGGCTTGCTTGAATAGCAATTGCTTTATATTCAAAGAGGAGTAATTTATTTCCTGGGGAGCTGAGTAGATACAGAAAGAGAAAACAACACCAACAAGAGGTTCTCAAAATAGATATTCTCCTTGGGAGAGAGAGATACATTCTGATACTCTCCTTGAGAGTGGAGGGAACAGAAAGATATGACCCTTGAGTTTTGAGACATCCCAGAAAAGACTTCCAGGCACCACTAAAAGCATGGCAATCCCTCCACAACACAGGACAAACCAATCCTGTTCCTGAAAGAAGAAAATAATCTCAGAGCCTACTATTTTAAATGTGAAATGGATTATTTTCTCTTATATACCTCGTCTACTATATATCACGTGCCATTTCAGTGCCTAGTCACTTGTTCTCATGAGGTCTTAATTTAATTCCTTAGAGTCAGCTCTTGTCCATACCACTCTGAACAGCTTTATGTCACCTGAATACATGGCTCTTCCTAATGTTTGGAAGACATACCAGCTTAAGGTCTTTTTTATTCCATCTAATTCTATTTTGAAATTCAGCATAACTTATAATGTTTCTTATTTTCTTCATTTAAGACACAATTAAGGACAACTTTTTGTTACTAGCAACCTTTCTTGCCCTAATATTTAGCTGTCCTAAGCACTTTGTATCCTCTCTCAAGCTTTTCTACACAGACACTATACGTTGGCCCTGTTAGTGAGTATCACCATACAAACTACATGAAAGGATTTGATTCTTTTAGATATCCCTTTTAGCTTCTTTCAGAATAGATTTCAGTTGGAAGTACCTACAGTGATCTGTCAGGTCCACCTGCCTGACCAATGACTCTTAAATTATTCAAATGACTCTTAAACACTGACAAGCCTGGGGCATCAACCACCTCTGAAACAAAACACTTCCTAAGGTCTAGTCTAAACCTCTCCTGGTGCAGCTTTGAACTATTCCCATGTGTAGTATCACTGGATACTAGGGAGAAGAGATCAGTACCTCCCTCTCCACTTCCCTCCTCAGGAAGCTGTAAAAGCAATGAGGTCACCCCTCTGCCTCCTTCTCTCCAAACTAGACAAGCCCAAAGTCCTTACCACTCCTCAGAGGACATTCCTTCCAGCCCATCCACCAGCTTTGTTGCCCTCTGAACACATTCATGTTCCTTAACATCCTTCTTTTATCATGGGGCCCTAAACCACACACATTCTATTCTGTTAATATAAGCATTATCATTCAGTGAGTGCTGGAGAGGAATCAGTAGGGTAAGGTTTCTAAAGTGAGTGGGAAAAAATCCAGAAGCATATTTTTTTACATATTCACAATGAGAGCCCAAGAGAGCAGCTCAGCCTAGGCACTTAACATCTTGATGGGTATATTAAGTAAGATAGATTCCATTTTAAGTATTCAGATTTGTTAAACTGGGAATTAAAGACCCAAAGGCTGCTAAATAAACCGACTTGGGATGACACAGTCATTGAGATTTTTTCTGACTAGCTTCTGGTCAAGTACATAAGCTAATAAGGCCCTTATCTGCAAATGACAAATATGAAGACACATAACTTACAAAACTGCACTTTTTTTTTTTTTTTACATGTAGTATACATATATTCCCTAACAAAAAGGCTGCCCAAGAACAGAAAAATCATGCTGCATATTGAAATAAAAACAGGGCAGAAGCTAAAGAGTTAAACAAAAGCACGTTGTTTTCTATAATGTTATGAACATGAAGTGTCTATTTGTCAAAATGTAATTACAAAGAACTCTTTACATTACTTGATATAATGAATACCATAATGGAAGTTCAAACATCACAGGGAAAATAGTTACCTGTGACAGGCAAAATCATTTTTCATTGAATTACAGCCAAGAGATGTAAACAACTGAAGTATTTGGGACCCAGTATTCTAAGAGGTTACTACAGAATTACACACAGTTTAGGTAAGACAAGCTTGTACCAAAAAAACTCTGGTTTGGCTAACAAAATTCTCTGTGATCAAAACACTCTGGAAAACTCAGCTTTGAGATTTACTCTCCCTCCATCCTGTGTTTTTAAAGTCCAGATCTAGGTCCCACTAAAGTCAAGGTCTCTCAATTACCTGCTTTGTCTGGCTACAGAAGGAGAAGTAGCTGAGTGAGATAGTTTTCTCACAAAATTTAGACAGAAATTTAAAAAATTAAAATATCAGATGCCAAGAGACTTCCAGTCCATCTGCCAGAGCAAAGACTGGAACAAGTTTAAATGAGAACCTAGACTTCTGGAATATGATGGGAGCAGAAGTATTTCTCTTTAGAATCTTCCTGTCACCACTCAAAATTCAGTAAAATTCACAAAGTTTTTCTGAAGCTTGAGAACACTTGTCTAGCATTTTGAGCTATAAAGTGACAAAGAAATAGAAGTTAAATTTTTTAAGATGCTTTTTGCACTCAGAAAAATGGAACAGATTTTTTCTTGAAGAGTAGACTTTCATTTCTCAATGGTTCACACCTCTTCATTTGATGAACACTAAATATGCCAACTTGATTGGAGTGACTACAAAGCCTTTAGAACTATTTGTACGGACTCAGATTGAATTGATACAATTACCCCATCTCTCTTTAATAAAAGAGTCAAGTTCTGTGAATTATTTTAAGAAGAGTCAGCAGGACAAGCCAGTTGGTTTTGTCTGCACTTGAACAGTTGGACTGACAGAAGGGTAAGTAAGGTCATTATTTGATTTACTTATGAAGAATATTAGACCACAAAGAATTGGTAAACTTATTTCATCTAATAAACCACTAGAGGTGACAACTCACAGTTTCTGTCATTATACTGGCTTCTATCCAGAAGTAGAAATAGCAGCACCAACAGTTCCGTGGGTAGGTTACTTTATTGCTAAGAAAGAAGAAATCCCTTCTTTCTACTCCAAAGGGCTGCATTACAAAAAGGAGTTCTGTTGAGTTCAGACATGCTCTTACCTTAATAGAACAGAAACTTCTCCTTATGTCTCTTCAGCAGTATTACGTGGTCTCCAACGGGAAAGAATAAGAAGGAATAAAATTAGACCTTGCCTATACTTGCAATTATAAAAACTTGCAGCAATAAAAACCAGGCCAGAGGCAGAGGTAGCAGTTCAACAAGGAAGAAGTTTCCACGAACACAAGAGGAAAGAAAACCCAGATCTTAAAATGTATGTGTGCAAATTCATTCATTGTCTCTTGGGTATTCATAACAGTTTAGAAGTGAAATGCAGTTTATGAGCATGAAGTATTCTCATGGTTGGTTTAAACTATTGTAAATTGCACTGCATTTACCCCTTAGAACTACTACTTAAAAACAATTATGACCTATAAGTAAATGCATTTACTTGAAAAGTTACTTTTTATGGCAGGCACTATACCTTTATCATTCGTCTCAAAGTTTCAGGAATAGATTATAGGAAAGGCAGAACTAGATATTTTGCCCATGAAAAGATTTCAAGCATGCAAGTCATTTCCCAGATATGCCATGTTCTTTAAAATGGTACAACTTTTGCATACAAATCAAAACAAACACCCAGAAATCAACAGGGATCGAGCAGCACAGCAGAGAAGCAGACACCCAGAAGCAGACAAGATCTGAAAGTTTTATAGCATGCACATTTCCTAGCTTTAGATATGAAAATAAAATAAAAAAAAAAGGAAAAAATAAATAAAGACTTGGTGTTTAAAACTACAACTTAACTATGCTAAAAAGCTTTTAAATGGATTACTCAAAAATAGTTTTAGCACTAAGGAAAACACATTGATGAAACTCAGTGGGAGAAAAATGGGATTTTTCTAGGTAGACAAACTCTGCAGTGATCAGTCAATCTAATAAAGTAGCAGATTTGGTTTGGGGGACTTATGTTTAACAGTTATGATTATGGAACTGTATCAGTGATGAATATTCCATATTGTGAATACAATGTTGTGAATACAATGGTATTGTATTTTTAAACTACTATATAATTCCTTGGCATACTGTGATGATTTTTCCAGCTATTCGCCTGTTTTACAATTCAGCAGGAGATATGTGCTTAGTTATACTCATCATTAGTGCTATTCTGAACAACTTACTCACTGATTTATGGTATGTGCTCTCTATAGTGCTAAATATCTTTATGTGTCCTGCATGTATCTCTTGCTTAAAAAAAAAAGAAAGAATTGAAGAAGCTTCAGAAATTAGGTTCAGCCCATAAATTTCACACAGCTATATGTTCCTTATTCCTCACCCTCAAGGAAGGTAAAGGAGATGCCAATGCCTTATATCATGGCTCAACAAACCAGAAACAACCAGAAAGATTGTTAAAAGGCATGTAAAGAAGTGACTCATGCCTTTGGCAGGCCAAAATTTTTCAGTAGCTTTCATAATTCTGCATGTTTGCCCTCAGTTTCTATCACTGAAGAGCTCTCAGGTTGTCCATTGCATCTGCCAAATGATGAAAAACAACGCATGCGCATCACTTCAAACAGTTGTTAGATACTAAGCCAAAGTAAGTATAAGTTCACATGCCCTGAGACTGTTTGGATCTCTGCCTTTCATTGCTGGAAAGGTTCAGGGCTTTCCCCTCTTCTAGCCCCCTTCTTCCCAGAAAAGGGGACACTGACAATAAGTCAGTATAATCCTGTGTTTCACCGAGGATTAGGTCCAATTTTTCCCTCTTCCTCAACAGCAAAGCAGAGGGAATAAAATTCTAAAGGCCCTTCTGGTGCTACCTTTCTTCTTTTCCATGCCCTCCTCAGCAACAGATGGGCTGCTCAGCTGGGTTACTGCCCTTGCTATTATTTTTTTTTCTTACCCCTGAAAAGCAGCTGGAAGTTAAGTATAGGGAAGAAGAAATGCACTCTTGGTAAAAGTTCAAAGGAAATAACACTCTCTTTCTCTCATAATTATACCCATTCTAATGGATTAAAGCAGGTGGCACTGCAATACACCACTCATTCCCCTGTAGGCCTTCCATCTAAAGTATTATTGGTGCCTTCAAAAAAAAAGAAATACACTTAATTCCTTAAGTGACTTTTTCAATTTCTGGGCATTTAGCCCAACCAGTCCTTAGTGCTATTGTAATGCAAGTAATAAATAATTATTCTCTCTCCACTGACTAAGAAAATGATTGTTCCCATTTCATAGTTAAGGAAAAAAAAATTGAAAAAAAAAAAATTACTTCCTAAATTCCCCGGGAAGTCTCCTTGAACCTGGTGAGTGCCAGCCACAGCCACAAGATCTGTTCTTTTTAACACATCAGGTGACTTTCCCAGTTTTGTCAGAAATAGGGCATGCTACAGAGGGAAGCCACTGGAGAAAACAGGGCAAGTTTCTGGATGAGACTGTTCCTAGGTGCTCTCTAGCTAGGCTAGCAAGCATAGGGAGGGCTTGCAAATTTGTGCATCTGATACCTGGCACAGGGATGTCTCCAGGGAACTGGAAAGACATGGAAGTAGAAGCACTGAGGAACACTCCGTAACAAATTAAGTAACACTTTATGTTGAGGTTCTGCACTGTAATAAGAAGCAGGTTTGGATCAACCCAAACCTTCTTCCTTGTAAAACTTCAGCTAAGTTAACAGCTAACTCAAAGTACTGTGGGTATCTTGAGAGCTAGGAACCAGCATGAGAGAGCAGGTAAACCACAGCCGGAAGATAATGCTAAGCAGCTTTTAGTCTGGAAGCAGGGTTAAAATACCCTTAAATAACACCTTTAAAAGGCACTTAGTATAGAGAAATTCAAAGTGAGGTTAAAAAAATAAAAATTAAATGGATCAGATTTAGCACATAATGACTTGTGCTTTTTTTTCAATGAAGTGCATTTTGGGTCCACCTCCTCAGTGGAAAATAAGAGACTAACAACACTGCCAATGTGACATATCCCACAGAGACAGAAAAGAACATGCTGGGAACAGCTTGTCTCAGCACATCACGTACAGCAGACAAGGTAACATTGCACGCTACATTTGTGGCTTTGGCCATGTCTCCAGCAACCCGCACACTCCACGGGCTCTGTGCCTCTCTCCTCCAGTCAGTATTCACTGAATAGTATGTATTACCTATATCAGCCTGGAACCTGCAACGCAAGCAACAACCCATAGCGTCATTGAAATGCTGCTGCCAAGCTGAGAATGGCAGAAAGCCACACCACCCTCCCAACCTGCTCCCACCCACCTGTGCCCGCTGCATTAAGTGTCCTAATGCATTTCTATTTCCAGCACCATCACCAAACTTGGCAAACAACGAGCACTCTCCACAACCCTGACCCACTTGCCCACCTCCCTTGCAAGACAGAGACAAGGAATACAAAATCACAGACATGGAGTATTTTGAGTAACAGCTTAATGGAAGCTACCAAGGGATGTGAATCCAACTTTAACAAAAAGACATGTACCAATGAGTTCGAGTCCAATTCCCAGAATGATATTATCTGTGTAGTGTTAATTCTTTATTATTCAAAAGATTGCTAACTGCTCATATCTACACAAATGTGTTCATGCTTCATTCATTCCAAGTCAATAATAATGGATCCTTACTATTGATTATACATGAGCCTTTTTGTCCCATCGTAATGAAATTTTAATGTTGATGGTCCCCAAACTATTATTTCAACCTAATAACAGTGAGACTTGACAATTACCTCGCTCTGTGAGTTGCAGATAGAACTAATAAGGTCATCCTTAATAACTTTTTGTTTACCTGACATTTGGTAATTTTATAGTTATTATGTATTATTTTAAAGTCAAAGGAGTGTTTTGCAAAGGAACATTGTCTCCCTGTGGAATAAAATATGATTCTGCCAGCAAGAAGCCTTTCCTTTGCCTGCTCCCTGACCCAAGGTGCATTACCTGAGCCCCTCAGCCCAGGGGAGAGAAGCACATCTCCATGGCTGCAGCTCAAAAACATAATTACAGAAGGGAAAAAAGGGTCAAGAATCTTTAAACCTGGGGGGGGGGGGGACGGGGGGGACAGGGGATGGGGGACGGGGACGGGACAGGGGGAAGAAAAAAAATCTGTATGGGAAATCTTAGTTTAACACCTGGCAAGGACAGGATGGCTAGGGACACAGTATTATCCTGGTTCAGTGAACCGGAGTGCGTTTCCATCTCTGCGCATAGAGAATTGTTGTGGGGCTGTCCTCAGGAGGTTTCTCCCCTTTCTGGCCAGCAGCAGCCCCACAGTGCAGGTATAAATGAGTGCCTCCTTCACCACCAGACCACAGCCAAGGAGAAGTAGCTCTGGTTCCCAAACTGATTGCTTCCTGTTACACAGCATTGCTTGCCACCTGGCCTGTCACCTCACTCCATTCCCATCATGTTAGCAGGCAGTCCCTGTTACTGCAGTCCACTGCCATGAGATCCACCCTCAGAGCAGTGGGAGTGCCCTGACACCCAACCTACACTTAGGCAAAGAGCACACTTTTCTTTCCCAACCTGGGCTGTTTCCAGCACTTTTGATCCTTTCCCAAAGGGCTGCAGAGGCACTGTCAGTCACATGCCCAGCAAAGTGCTCTCCCATGAGGCACTGACAGACAGTGCCTCTCCATGGAACCTTCCAGAGCCAGCAGTGTCTGGGGCAGGGCAGGCTCCCCTCAGGCAGTTGAGAAAACAACCACCCAGCCAAAAAACTGGGCTTCCACCCAAAAAAGGCAGAGTGACAAACAGTGGTCTGGGGGCTACACATGGTGAGGGAAAAAGCTTCAAACTGAGAGACCACCACAAGGTTTGAGCAGCGACACCAAGCTAGCCAAATGTCTGCCAGCCTCTGGGGAAGAAAACAGGAAGAGAAGCAGCAGCTTCAGGAAGGCTCCCAATCCAGTCAGGCACATAAATACAAAGCAAGCAAACAAATGGGATTTGAACTGTTACTAGAGTAAATATCCAAGTAAGCACACTCAATGTTATGAGGTTAACTACATATATAAGCACTGTGACAATCTGAGCTTAAATAGCTTCCTAGGACTGGGTTTCCACACATCACCCACCTCTCAGACACACATCTGCAATGTGTGGTTTTGCTGCAAAAGAAACA